GCTGGCGTGGCAGAGGCGGCCTGAGTCCCAAGACGCAGTGTCAACTGAGGTGACACCCTCCTCGGCCAGACGGGCCTCCAGAGCGGTAAGCCTCAAGGAGTAGGTCGTGCTGGGTGGCTTGAGCCTCAGAAAGCTCAACCATGCGAGTCAGCACAGGCTGAGGCTCGCGGTACGGACAAGGGTACCTAGTGTCAGTGCGGCCAGAAGGAAGGCGTGGGAGCTGCCGGAAGGCAGAGCCCCCGAGGCGGTGGCTGTAGTCGTGGACCAAGCGACGAAGTGCTGTCCAGGAGAGGTCCTGGTACACGATCTGGAGAGTGGGCCTGGCCACATTGAAGTGGTGTGGGCAAAGGCCAGCCCCGTGTATACCTCCACGAGGGTAAAGGTACACCGAAAGCTCACAACGAGGGGGAACACGGTCCACAGAGTACCCCGTGTACTCGGGACACGAGAAGCCAAGGAAGCGGGCGAGGTCACGAAGCTGAGCGACGTGGTGACCCTCACCAAAACTATGGGAACTGAAGCTGGCGTTCACTACCATCTACAATTTTGAAAGAGGGAGAAAAGATCAGTAACCATTTTAGCAATAAACTACTGAAAATAAAGAAAGCAAAAAGAAGCCTTTGAGCAAGTAGTTTTTGAACTTAGTATCCTTAGGGTCATCCTAAACGTCGGGTTTCGCCCTAGGGCCAAGCCTGTGCTCTGATACCATCTTTTGTCACGCCCCGAACTAGCCCTGAACGGAACTAGCCCGTGACGCTCCAAATTAACATGTTAATCGATACCAGTCCCAGGAAACAGTGCTGGTATCACAGGAAGACAGAATATCACAGCAGCAGAGGTCTCTTTATTACAGAGTAGGAGTACAATCATGTTGGGCTGCGGATAGATGCTGAGCTCACAACTGCATTACAAAAGGGAAAGCGGAAGCCAAGACTTGGACCATTCATCACAGGCGTGACTTGGGAACTAGGCCAAAACCCTAAAACTCATCGTAGCCGACTTGCTCCTGGAAGAACTCCTCATCAGCAGGATCCACATCATTTTCTTCAGCAACTGGGGGGGGGGATTATTTATATAGAGCAAGGGTGAGTACAGGAGTACTCAGCAAGCCATGGGAATTAAGTGTTTAATGCAGGCTTCAAAGGAAATGCTGTTGTTTTTGCAATTGGTTTTATTTAAACTCCTTGTTGAAACAACTAAGTGAGTGCTTCTCAAACGACACGGATGAGACAGTGCGTCTCGTCTGGTCGGAGTATGTGCAATGTATCAATCTTTGAACTGATTCAAGGTTGGCACCCGGCCAACGGCTTTCAAACGGCCACCCGGGCCTGGCTGATCCCATCAGCCGCAGATTTTCCAAACATTGAACCCATTCCATAAAAGTAATTTCACAAGCAGTAGTCAAACTACGCTAGGAATCACCTCACATCCGCCCATGACCGTGGGCACGGCTGTTCGAACAGTTTAATAACCTCTGCAGAGGGGGTACACTTTACCCACATGACATTACTAACCCGGATCACCCCGCCCGTGCAGAACGGCCACGTCTGGAGACCTTGAGGCTTTCATGACAAGGCATTTCGAAAGCCGACACAGGTTCACCATATGCCAACGAGAGGGGTCCCAGACCGATATCAGGTTAGGTCCCACACCATACTGTGCCAGGAAGCCCGGGGGTTCCCCCCGGCACCACCCCGTTGAATCGACATGTCTCTTGCCATCATGGTTCCCCCGATTAGCTAGTTACTCAGCCAGGGGTGTCCCATTCCACCCATGTGGTCGCACTTGCCTTATGTTCGGATGAAATTCCAAGGAAACGGTCCTTAAGTGCAAGAGCGGGAAACCGTACTCCCGGTACGTCCCCCGGTCCGCGATTTTGGAAATTTAATTTTAGTTCGCAAGCACCGACCCAGGTGTCGGGTTTTCCAAGTCTTTTGTAAAACCCCAAGTTTTACCCATCGTTGGATGTTTTAAATTTGAGGGGAGGTGTTCCGATGCGCGTGCCTGTAGGCCCGTGCATCGAAGCACAACAGTTGACAAAGGTGGTTCAAGTGTTCAATAATTCAAGGAGGGTAATTGCAACAATTAGGATTGGGGCCGGTAGGCTATCTCGCAAGCCGCGGCCGAAATACTTGTGTTAAACTTATTCATGCAATATTTGCGGAAAAGAAGTACTTAGATTTAAATTATAGGTGCAAGATGATCAAAGGTGACTTGCCTTGCTCGAGAGCTTGATCCTTGAAATCCTCGCACTGCGGGTCTTCGGGCTCCGAAACTACACGCGAAACGGGACAACTCAACAAATGGCGAAAATAAAGCCCTATTATTGACCTCTAAACGTGCCATTAAATAGATCTCAAGATTTGAGAAATTTTGGAAGTTGAACGGAGTCAAACGGACATACGGTTGAGAAGATATTGAATTTCTAAGATTATTGGATTTTTGGTCTAAAGGAAAAAGGATTTAATTAAACCCTTTCGAAAAAGAAAAGAAAGAGGGAGGGGAAACAGACTTCCCTCGGGCGGCTAGGGCGCGGCCCGAGAGAAAGGGGCGGCTCGGCCGAGCATAATGGGCCGGCCGGCCTGAGAAGGCGGCCCAAGGCACGCGCGGGAGGGGAGGAGAGAGGGAGCCGGAGGGTCGGGTCCATCTCGTGTGGTCCTGAGTGGGACCTGCTTGTCGGCGGCTCGGCTCACCGTGAGGAGGAGCACGTGACGCGGCGCTAGGGTTTGGAGCGGGGCGCGGTGCACGCGCGCGGCTCGCGGTGGGTGCGGATGCGGCGGGCCCACGCGCAGCCTCACGGCTCGCGGTGGACCGCGCGTGCGAGCGGGGCAGAGGGGAGCGGCGGACCGGGGTCGGCTTGACCCGGTCTTGGCCGAGCTGGCGCCGACGTGGCACCTATGTGGCTGCCACGCGGGCCGGCGGAAGGTTGAAGAAGGCGCCGGCCGGAACGGACGGCGGACGGCGGCTGCGAACGGCGGGGCGAACCACGGCGATACAGGCGAAAGCGAGCACACCGGGTGGTTGCATGAGACGAGGGGAGACGAGCCAACGGCTCGGATTCGCCGGAGGGAGTTCGACGGCGGCGGATTGCGGCGGCGGCAACCGGCTGTGAGAAAAGAAGGAAACGGCAACGACGCGACTAGGGTTCGATTCCTCCGGACTAGAGCATCTACGTGGCCACCGGAGTCCGTTTCTACCATCGGATTAGACGGAGACACTACGAGAGAGGCCGGCGACGTGCGGGTGCTACGGAGCACAGGCAGCGACGGCGGCGAGCACACAGCGAGCGGCGGCAGCGGTCGGGGCGGCGCCAGCTAGCTACGGGGAGGCTTTACAAGCTTCTACCGAAAGCTAAGGGGAAGAGGAGGAACGAGGAGGGAGAACGGGGAGGAGGCACTACCGTGCGGGGTGAAGGGGCGCAGTGACGATGGCCGACGGCGCGGGATGTGATCACTCCGACCTCGGGCCGGGGAAGAGGAAGGAGAGGGTGCGCCCGGAGTCCACGTCACACGTCCTCGCTTGTGCCGGCTCCTCCAACACGCGCGACGACGAACGGTGACGGCGAACAGGGCAGGGCGCGGCAATGGCGAGGGCGAAAACGGGAAAGATTGGTTTGGGGAGGGGCTCGGGTTTATAGGGCGGCAATGTCGGTTCGGAAACCGACCTTGGGCGGCACTAGGGGGCGAGGGAACTTCGAGGGGATGGGATAGGCTTCACGGGCGCGGTCAAACGGCGTGGAGGACGGGCTGGCGCGGCGCGGCCGCTCCTCTGCCCTGGCGCTAGCTCCGAGCGGAGGGAGAGCAGAGGTCGGGCCGAGAGAGGAAAGCGGGAAACGGAGGGGGAGAAAGAAGGCTCGCGCTATGCTGGTTTGGGGAGGAAGAGGGATGGGAGCGGGAGGCGCTGCCTCCGATTTTTGGACGGATGCAGGCGGCGCGGCTCGGGGACGCGCGCTGGCTCGCAGGGCAGGGCGCGGCGCAGGCGGCGCAGCGCGGCAGGGCGCGGGGCCAGACGGCGCAGGCACGGGCAGCAAGCTGCTGACGACGGCGACGACTGCGCGGGCGAGCGCGCGCGCGAGGTAACGGCACGCGGGGAGCTTGCCGGGGATGGAGCGGGCAGAGAGAGCGGGAGAACGAGAGAGAGAGGGAGAGCTCGGCTCGGCGTCGGCTCACGCGCATGCGCACATGCACGCGGCGCACGGGCAAAGCGAGGGGAGAGCTGGGGGAGAGAGAGAGATGGGCCGAGGAAATCGGCCCACCGAACCTGAGGGAGGCAAAATAGACTTTTGCGGAGGAATTTGATTTGGGAAGGATTTGGATTCGGGATTTGAATTTGACGATAGATCGGGAATTCGAGATTAGGGATTGGCACGGAGACTGACAACAAGAAAAAAAAACAGATTTCGCAATTAGGGTTCTTAGAATTTAAATTTTTCCGCTAGGCGCCACGATGGAACGGGCGCTACAAGTTAAGAGTCCGTATAAAAATACAATTTACAAATAACTAAAATTTGAGATTAAGAAAAACATGGGAAGAAGAGTCAATATAGGAATACAATTTAGAAGTAACTGAAATTCGAAATTAAAAATGAAATAATATTGAAAGATGAGTTTAGAGTCCACGTAGAAATACAATTAGAAATAATAAAAATTCAGAAATAAAATAAATAATATTGAAAGAAGAGCCTAGAGTCTATATAGAAATACAATTTACTGAAAATTCGGAATTTAAAAAAAGAAATATTAAAAGACGAGTCTAGAGTCCATATAGGAATATATATAATTTACAAATAACTAAAATTTAATATTAAAAATTATTAATAACTAACACGTATATAAAATACAATATGAATATTACAAGTTATTGCAAAATTTAAAATTATGTTGTTATTTTAATATATTTGAATAATATATTGAAAAAACATATATGCTATTATATGAGAGAAAATATAATGATGCTAGCCGCACAATCTGCGCGTGCTACCATGCTAGTTGAAGAGAAAATTAAGTGCAAGCCGCAGTTGGTGCGGAAAAAAAGAGCCTCTTATTCGTCTGCACAATTACAGGTTGCAAATTGGATTGCTGCTATGCACTTGTATTACAGTATTCACTCCACTGGTAAACACAGCAAACTCTCATCTCTCTCCATGACGCCGCAAAGCATCCGTGCCAATAGGACGGGTCCCTCGGGCAAACGCAACTGGCAAACCCGTAGGGCCGCGAGCAGCGAACTCGATCGATCACACCAGCTTTAGCGCGGCTCCCGCCGTTTCCGGCCAAGTGCCCCGCTCGCCGGATTTCCAGAACGGGAAGCAGCAGCACGTACGCCGCGGATCACCCCAATATTACTCACCGGCTCACCGCGAGACGAGCAACCACAAGAAGAAAAAATCTGTACTACTAGCGCGTAGTAGTGTAGTGTAGTGTAGCGGCGTGGTCGGCCAAGCACGTGCAGGGTGGAGAAGTGCGTCTTGTTCTTGGAGTGTGGTAAAAAAATATCCTTTGCTTCTTTTTGTGTGTGTTGAGTTTTGTTGGGGGAGGGAGGTGTTGGATCGCGGAGGCATGGCTCATGCACGCGCATCAGTCGAGGGGGTAGCATGTGTCATCGCCGCCCGTGTTCCAGAGGAAGTGCGCGTAGGCTGCCGCGTGGTGCGAGTTGCTGGGTTCGGCGGCGATGGCCTCCTGGTACGTCTCCTCCGCGGCCGCGAGGTCATTGCGCGCTTTCCACAGGAAAGTCGCGTACCGACCCATCGCCTCCGCGTCCGCCGGCTCCGCGCGCACCGCCCGCTTGAAGTAGTGCTCCGCCCTGCATCCGCGCAAAACCACCACCTCGGTCAGCGCCCGTAAAACCCCAAGAGGCCCCGGCGGCCATTTCGTCGAACGGCTGGCGACGTGGCGCGCAGCAACTCACCGATCGTGGTCGCGCTGCACCGTGTACAGGAACTGGGCAAAGTTGGACAGCAGCAGCGAGTTGTCTGGCTCCTCGGACACGGCTCGCTCGTACCGCTCCTCCGTCGCCGCGAACTCCGCCGTGTCCTCCGTGTCCAGCTTGGCCTCCACCGGCGCCACGAGCTGCCCCAGTGTGTCCGGGTCCATCAGCGCCTCGGCGCGAACGCTCGCCTGCATCCTGGTAGCCTCATCGGCTATCCTTTTCCAGATGACCAGTTCGTCCTCTGTCTCCTCCACGGCCATTGCTTCTGACACGGGCACGGCCTCCTCCGCGCCAGCTCCCGGCGTACCCTGTGACGCATCCTGCGGCAACACCGCGCCGCTTTGCCGATTTGACCACTCGTCCGAGCGACCGTCGCCGGTTGCCCCGGCGACCGGCCGCACCTTGCCGCCGCCGCCGCTGTTGCCACCCACCGAGGCCGTTCGGCCGATGGACAACGTCTTGAGCGAGGCATGGTCGAACCGCTGGTGGGAATGAGACTGCTCCGCGTGCTGGGTGTCGACCATCGCCACAGTCGCCGCGGGGGGCTGGGGAGGCGGGAGCGTGGCGGCGGCCGCGACGCTGTCGCCCATGGAGTAGACGGTGAAGTTGGCGAGCAGAAGCATCACGGAGACCATGAGGGCGGGGGTGCCGGAGAAGATGTGCTGGAAGAGCCACACGAAGGAGGCGTGCATCTCGGCGTGGACGCGCGCGAGCACGCGCTGCAGGTCCTCGTAGAAGAGCGCCTGCCGCATCTGCAGCGTGAAGCTCTGCAGCTCCCGGATGATGAGCACCATCGACGAGAACGCGCGCCCCACCGCGCCGCGCGCGGACTCGCCGGCGCAGTCGATCAGCCGCTCGTCCCACCGGCCCTGCTGCTGCTGCTGCTGCTTCTTCCGCTTGAGCATCCGCAGCGACAGCGGCAACCCCACGCTGCTCGCGCTCCGCTCCACGCTCGCCGGCCACCCGCAGCCAGCGGCGCCAGGGTGCAGCCCCACCGCCAGCTCCTGAATCCTCCGCAAGAACTCCTCGTCGTCCCCGCCGTCGCTCCCGATGCTGTCAATGCTAGCGCTGAGAGCGCGCCTTGCCATCTGGTGCCCGCCGGCGCGCCGGCGGGTCATACCGACGCTCCAGCTAGCCAGCGACGACTGCCCTCTCGACAGCCTGACACCTCCAAGAACGCCATGCCGCCGCGACGTCGTCGCGGCGGCAGACGACGAAGGCGACAGCGACGACGACGACGACGTCGTGACGGCGCATGGCGACGACGTCACGGCCGCGACCTGGATGCCCATGGGTCGCAGCGACCACCCTCCCGGCCACCCACCGGAGCGACGGTTGGGAAATGGCCCACACAGCTCCACAACCGTGGGAGGCTGGCTAAATGCGAGGGGGTGGCAAAGGAAGAGGAAGAGGAAGAGGGGGAGGGGGAAACGAGCGGTGGCCTTATTTCAGGATCCGGGAGGCGTGTCCTGGTCAACCACCCCCACGCAGCTCGTGAAGGATCTAGCACTCCTGCTACTGCCGCTACCGGTGACACCAGTTTCACGAAACAAAATAGAAACGATACGGTACGCCCCTCCTTAATATAGGCTTGAGCCAAAATTAGGCGCTCACACACTCGAGATACGAATGGCAAGCAGTATATACTTTGGAGGGGGGGGGGAGAGAAAAAAAAATCAAGAACAAAAATATGAGATGGTGTTCAGTAGCGAGTGAAGAGGGAAGAAGAGTGATGGGAGAAGACGAAGAGCGTGTAGGGAGGCCTTGCCTATTTATTTCGTGCGTGCCACCCGGATGCATTGCATGAGTGTGCGGCCGAAGAATCCGTAGACCGCCTCACTCTCCTGTACGGCTCCCCTCTCTCATCATCAACGTGTGTGCTGGGTATGGCCACCCCGAATTTCTGTGACTTTTTTCTTATTGTCTCCTACTTATTATTCATAAGTGTGCAAAAAAGCCAAATATACTTTCCAGAAAGACATCTCAGAATTATTTTAGGAAAAAACTTGTTTATTTGGGCCATTCCTTTTATATTAGAAAATTCAAGAAACCTTTAACCGCTATACATTGCCATTGTACAATAAAATTTATTTCCCTTCAGAAGAAAATGCAATACTTACTTTTGACATTTAGGCTTTCTACAGTCTTTAATATACGACTTTAACCATAGTTTTTTATTATAATAAATCTATAATAGTCTAATAAGTTTATGAAATTATGAATGTATCGTGCTTTAGCATTCAAGTTCGTTTTCAAAGGAGGATGGCGTATCATAATATCTTTGGTTTTGTCAAATTATAGCTTAGGCTTTGGTTTAATAGTTATGCATGTTGAAAATCCGGTATATTCTGTACTTTCAAGTACTATTTTTATTTTTTGGAACCAAAGCATAGAATTCCATTTCAAGGAAGGATGATGCACCGTAGTGCCTCTGGTTTTCTCAAGCCTTGCTTTTTGGCCTATGCTTTGATGGTTGTGCATGCTAAAAGGCTAGCACGTTTCATATTTTTCAAGAAAAATCTGTACGTGCTATTTTAAAAATATTTTTAAACTAAGCATTTAAAAATTTATTTATGGATAACTAAAAGAACTGCTACTGCATATTGTATCCAAAACATCAATATAGCCATTTAAGTTGCTGATCGTTTGACACGAAGTACATAATCGGCTAAAGCTTGACCAGAGCAGCTAGTACAGTGTACAGTATGTAGTAAAGAACGACATTTCAGCTCATTTCACGTGGTTTAACTTGAAAGAACAAGAAAAAAAAAAGAGACCAGAAGCAACTCTCAAACGTGTCCACCTCTGTTCACGTGCCAACAGCTGCGGCGGTGGCGCTGCAACTGTGAAGCCTCGAGGCTTTTGTTGCTCCCTCCGCGGCTCCCGTCCCACACGTGTCCGCCATTAAGCCGCGGTGTCAATCGGTCACCACACTGCGCTAGGCAAGTCATGCCCGCCCCCATGGTCGCCCATGGACTCATCTGTACAGTGAAGTCGCGCATGGGCTTCACTCCACTCTGGCCTCACGCTTGCACATCTCCTCCCCACCGGTGCTGCTCTCGTGCAACACGGTGGTGGTGCTGATGCGGCTCACTACTCGACGCCTGAGCTGACATTTTTTGGAGATACCTCCAGTTAGCGTCTCTTATTCCGTGTCCTAGTAGTTCACCGGTTGTAGAAATGATTGAGTTAAAATTCTACCTCTACCAATACTGTCTTTCTCCTTGCAAATCGCGACACTGACGCTGAACTGATGATAGCGCCTAGCAAGCGGACCTCGTACGTTCATCACGGCACCAACCACCAGCACGGTTCGGAACGCACGCGCGTTTCGGCAATTTTTTTTCCCGAAAGGCACCCATCCGATTCGGACCTTTCCGCTCGCTGGCGAGTGGCGACACGGCGCGCCTAGCTAGACGCCGAGACGGTAACGGAAAATATCTCGGGCCTGGGGGGTGGGGGGTGTTTACGAGCGGACGGACGGTTGGGAGGGCGTCGAGAGGGGGGCCCCGATGGGCGCCACGTTCCCATCGAGCCGGTGTTGGGATCGACCCGGCCAAACGGGCCGGAGGAGATTTCGATCGCCCCGGTGGAATCGGTTGGTGGTTTGCCCCCGAATTGGACGGTCGAGACGGGGGCGGCGTTGTGGCGAGCGGCCGCGAGGACCAGTCCTAGGTCGCGCCTGGGCCACCCCCGCGGCCCGGCCCCGCCTCGCCTCGGCGTCGCGCGAGCGACAGCGGAAACGTGAGCCACGGCTAGCCGCCAAGCGAGGGTGTGCAAGTTGCATCGCCATCACTGTACGAGTATAACTTGGATTTCCTCTCCTTGTTGATGACGGAGACGCCTGGTGGTTGTTTTTCTTCTCCCCTCCTCCCAATTATACTCTTCAGTTTTTTTTTTCATATTTACAGTGGTATGTCGGGAACATGGTGCCTATTAATGACACCAGAATGCATATATTCATATTACTCTTCTTTTTTCTGGAGAGAGGCAGAGACGAATTAAGGATCGAAGTGCTACTTGTAATGGAATGAAAGGGAGAGAAAGAAACAGAAAGTAGATGTGCACACCCTTGCAGCAAGTTGATTTTGATTGTTTCTGTACAAGTAACTTTCCTTCCTCAGTGATTTTGATTGTTTCGCTCTCTTCCTCCTGATGGGCCCTGGAGCAACGATTTGATGTTGGCTCGATTGCGTTGTTCTGATTCACGACAGTATCAGTTGGATGGCCCAGATTTTGAACTCGAAGGTAGATACGCATGGTTGGATTCATGCGTCTTTCAATCTAGATCAGTGAGTGCTTCCGATTAACCAGGTTTAAAACGCCGAGCTTACCATGTATCTGTTCTGAACTTTCAGCAAGGGTGTCTTCTCGTCTAGATGCGCTGTCCTACTCTTCTACCAACATTTTTGGTAGTACTGCTCAAGCCCTCCAATCATTTTGGGATGGAGTGAATCTACTTGGGGAAAGTTTACGGACAAACAGTAGATATCAAAGAGAGATCCAGCATTTTGTGTGGTTGCAGAGAAATTCCGTCTCCCTTCCTGATCGATCAACCTATGGCCAGTAGAAGGTTTTGTTTTGATCCTTGCCTGCATGTCATGTTCTTTTCCGCGGCCTGGTAGATATGAACAATATTTTAGATGGAACTATCATCAGAATGGCCAATTCTCAGTTAGATCAATGTACTTAGCCTTAATTAATAATGGTTACATTGACAGAAATAAGTTAATTTGGAAACTCAAGATGCCGCTTAAGATCAAGATCTTTATGTGGTATTTGCTTAAGGGAGTTATGTTAACCAAGGATAATTTAGCAAGACGGAATTGGACTGGTAATTTAAGATGTTGCTTTTGTACGAAAAATGAGACTATCCAACATCTGTTCATTGATTGTCATTTTACAAAGTTTATTTGGAGGGCAGTTCAGTTTTCTTTTGGTTTATATATTCCTATTAGCATATCTCATATTTTTGATGATTGGCTTCAAGGAGTCATAAACAAAAAGAGCAAACTGATACTTGTTGGAGCTTCTGCCTTGTGTTGGGCACTGTGGCTGAGTAGGAATGATAGGGTTTTTGACAAATCACCTACTATTACTTATATGCAGGTCATTTTCAAGGCAACATATTGGCTTCGTCTGTGGGCACAGTTACAAAAGTGTGATGAAGATGCAGATTTCTTAATTGTTGCATGTCGTAAGGTTGAAACGATGGTTATGCAACTGTTTGCCAATCATGGATGGAGATTTACCAATAAACTGGAATAATGTTATTTTGTCTAGTTTGGTTGGTGTGTTTGCTTCTATTTGAACTTCACTCTTACAGAGTGCTAGTTTGTAATAATTGGCTGTAACTCTTTCGAATAAAGGTCGGGATGCTATTTCATTCCATTATCTAAAAAGATATGAACGATATCTCCAACGAAGCATATATATGCCCACAGAACCAAAATTGGGTGATTGGTGCAACTCCCGTAGCCTTTGCTAGTTTGAATACTCCCCACTTCTCAATCCACTTTCTACCGCATGAACACTGAAATGCAGAACCAGAAATGCTTGATTACCTCAACTTGATCTGAGCCTGTCATAAATTAGTATAGTTCTACAAGAGTTTGTTACCTGCAAGAACTACCTCAACTTGATCTGAACTTGTCATAAATTAGTATAGTTCTGCAAGAGTTGTTACCTGCAAGATTTTATTTCTTGCAAAGAGAAAAAAAAAACACACAAAGAATAAGACGTATGATGGCACTTCAAAATGATTGCTTTTGATTAGTAGCTGCGTATTAGCCGCACACTGACATAGATCAGGCGACCTTTAACAGTTGGCGACATGAGTAGGCTTTGTCATCTTCAGATTACATGTATCCCTCGCGATGTGGACGGCAGTCGTTCCGTATTTGTGCTCCTTGCTCAGAATTCTTCTTTCTGGCTATCATGACGTTAAAAGCGTGATAGGTGCCGATTGAAAATGACGATTGAAATTTGCAGGAAGTGGCGATTGAAAGGAAGGAAGCGCAAAATGCATTCATCAACAAAGGTCAGGACTTGATTCCTTCTTTTGTTCAAGATTCTAATGTGGCCCTTATGGATATGGCTAGTATTTTAGGAGTTAACTTAGGCTGTGCTATTGATAATATTGATTCAAACTTGTCTTTGATTAAAGACTTAGAATGTGCTAGAATTAGTTTATTTTTAAAAGAACAAGAGGTTATGAAGAATAAGAATTGTGAATCTAAAACTGAGATAGAATTCCCTGTGGAAAATTTGCTTGATGAATTGTGCTCTTCTGAGGGATATGACTCTGATTTGGAGCACATTGACTCTTTACTTAAAGGCTCTCATTTTTCTGGTAGTAAGCATAAAAACAAAAGAGGAAACCTTGAGATTTTCAAGGTCACTCCAAAGATGAGTAGGAAAAAATATAATAAAAAAACCAGGAAAAAAATGAAAGGACTTTTTTGGAATATTAGAGGAATGGGTCAGGTTGAAAAAACTAGTCATTTACAAGATTTGATTAAGGAAAAAAACATTGATTTTGTTGGGATTATGGAGTCCATAAAGCAGGATTTCTCTGCTGGTCTATTGAGAGGTCTAAGTGGTAACAAAAATATGAAATGGGAGTGGTTGCCGGCTATGGGTCACTCAAGAGGATTTTTGGTAGGAATTAACATTGACAAACTGAGTATGTTGGCTGTTTCAAAAGGAGATTTTCATGTTAAAATTGAATTGCAAGATATGTGTCACGACCGGAATTAACCCAACGGGCGTTCCTTACGTGCGTGTATTATTCCTTGTCCCAGGAGGCAAGGTACACCAAAAGTTGATACATTTCAGAGTTTATCAAGCGGAAGCGTAAATAGTTAATTTATTACATGGGCGGCGAAGGCCCAGCATACACAAAGACAAACGAGAAACAGTGGAAGACTAGGGCGACGACCACAGGCGCTTGACGGCAGGCACGAGCTAGACACCAAAGCCTTCTTCTTCCAGGGGCTCCTCTTCTTGGTTTGGGAAAAAATTGAGCAAGACTGAGTACAACCACCGTACTCAACAAGACACACCCACAAGTGCAGGATAAATGCAAGGGAGTACAAGGGGGTTATAATATAAAGGGTTAGGGTTTGTAGTAAACAGCATTAAAAGACACTTAGTTGCTCAAAGCTATTTTGTAAACATGATTCCAGAGCTATACAATATTATTAATCAAGGCCGTGAACCCACACGAACATGCCTTAATCCAAGGCCTACGATGATTCAGACCGAACTGGCAACCCGACCCTGGGTCCCAGCTCGTCCCAAGCCAACCCAGGCCAACCATTCCACATTTTAGTTGTTAAGCAGGTTTTAAGAATTAAAACACTAACTTGGGTACATTGCTCGGCTTGCCCATAACCGAGGGCGCGGCTATTCGAATAGATTATACTCTGATCAGAGGTGTACATCTTTACCCACAAGACACATCTTCCTCACGTGTAACCACGTGCCACATACCACCACGGTATACGGACGGAAGATGTGACATAGTTTCCAACCCATCCTAGCCATAGACAAGAGTACCGACCCAACCCCACCTACGGCCGGAACCCCCGGGACAGGTATGCAGGACTGCGCCCCTAGCAGCAGGACACCGGCCCTGTGCCATGACATCTCGACTACCGGGCCGCAGCTTGTGTAGCCTTCATTTGTCCTAGAGATGTCCATCGACCCCCGACTTCGTCCATCTCCATCCGTGTACTTTTGTTTATAACCAGACTGAGCCACAAACTAAGCCGCACCGTGGGTCCCACGCGTCAGCCGCACCCGAGGGCGCGGGCGGCTGACGGCCGGGCGCCACGCGGCAGCCACTCGGCGCGCCCGAGGGCGGCCAAGCCGGCGCAGCCGGCGGGAGGCGGCGCCCGCGCCCTATGGTCGCCGGCGGCGGCCATAGGCACGGCGGAGCGGCGGCCGAGAGAGGGGAAGGGAAGGGGGAAAAAGAAGCGGCGGTCCACGGCTCACCCTAGGTCGACGGCGACAACGAAAAAGGTGGCCGGAGCGGAGGAAGGCGGCGGCGCGGCTCAGGTCGACGGGGTCGACGGCGTTCCGGCGGCCGGCGAGCGAAACGGAGGGGTGGACGAGGTCGGCGAGGATGCGGCAAAGCCGAAGGAGGCGGCGCCGAGGTGGGAGGTGGTCCGGGGCGACGACGGCGGCGGACCGGAGCTCGACGGCGACGGCGGAGAGAGAGAGCGATGGCGTGAGCTCGATTCTGGCGAGGAGGAAGGGCGGCGAGAGGCGGAAACGGATGGAGGAGGTGCGGGGAGGGTTTAAATAGGGTTGGAAGGGGGAGAGGGCGGCCGGAGGGGAAGGAAACCGGCGCGGCGCTCTCGGGCTCCATCAATGGCGCCGGCAGGATTAGGGGAGGGTTTCCAAACAAATCCAAGGGAGAGAGGGAGGGAAAATTGGGGGGAAAGGCGGAGGGAATCACGGGTAATAATTTCCCCCTATTGATTGCACGGGGGACGGCGGGAGGCGGCGGGATTCGCGGCGGCGGCGGCGCTAGGGCGCGGGCGAGGCGGCGGGAGCGGCGGGAGGAAGGGGATGACGGGTGGGCCCCACCCGTCAGCGAGGGTGGCGGGCGGGCCCGCCCGTCAGCGGCGCGCGCGCGGGGAGAGGCCGGATGGGCCGCGGGGAGAGGAGAGGGAGGGGGAGGGAGATGGGCCGAGCCGGCCCAAGAGGGAGAGGGAGGGAAAGGGGACTTTTTAGAGCTTTTCTTTTTATAAAATCATTTTAACTTTGTTTATTTCTTAATAATTATTATTTGTGCTCTGAAAATTCCACTAAAATTTATTTACGCATTTTAGGCTTTTAGGAAATATACAAAAATCCTCCAAGCCTTATTTGACTTTTAACTTTGCACATTTTAATTGTTGGAGGCTTTCACACGGATTTTAATTATTCTAGGCATAATTTAGAGGATGTATTTTAGAGTCGTTTTGGGACGTGACAATATGCAAACCAATTTCTGCTGGGATTTGATAGCTGTATATGGAGCAGCCCAAAATGCACACAAGGATAGGTTTTTGACTGAACTGGCTAACATTATTCAGAAACAAATGAAACCTTTAGTCATGGGTGGTGATTTTAATATTATTAGAAAGGAAAGTGATAAAAACAAAGCTGGAGGGTATAATAGGTGGAGTTTCATTTTTAATGCTGTCATAGAGCAAGCTAATTTGAGAGAAATCTTTCTAGGTGGGAGAAAGTTTACTTGGTGTAACAATCAAGAGAATCCCACTTTAGAAAAATTGGACAGAATTTTTGTGAACACAGATTGGGAAAAGGAATATCCCCTCACAATGGCAAAAACTTTAACTAGAAGCATTTCAGATCATAATCCTTTGCGCATAGATACTGGAGTCTTAAAGATTACTCATAAGAGCTTCAAATTTGAACTCAGTTGGTTTCTTAGAGAAGATTTAAAAGAAATTGTGGAGAGTGTTTGGAAAATTAATTATTATGGATCTAGTATTGAGAGATGGCAGAAAAGATTTAGAGCTTTGAGGAAAAAACTTAATGGTTGGAATAATAATTGGGAGGGGAGATATAGGAGGGAAAAAGAAAGCATTCTTGAGAAAATTGAAAATTTGGATGCGAAGGTTGAAAGATGTGGGATGAGCAAGGAAGATAGAGAAGAAAGGAAGGAGTTGGAGGATAAACTGAATTTTGTGATTAGAGAAGAAAAGATTAAATGGTTTCAAAGGAGTAAAGAAAATGAGTTGTTAGAGGGAGATTGTAATACAAAATACTACCATGCCAAGGCCAATGGGAGAAAAAGGAAAAGCTATATTCATTCCTTAACTCAGGAGGAAGGTGAAATAGAAGGGCAAGAGAAGTTGTTAACCTATATTACTAGCTTTTACAAAGATTTGTTTGGTCATCCTAAACAGAACACACTTTTTCTAGATATGAGAGGGGTTACAACAATAATGGAAGAACACAAGGTGATGTTGACCAAACCTTTCAGTGAGGAAGAGGTCAGAATAGTTGTTTTCGAGCTTAAGAAAAACAAAGCTCCAGGCCCAGACGGTTTTATTGGTGAGTTTTATACTCAGTTTTGGGATCTGATCAAGGGAGATCTTCTAAAATTGGTGAATGACTATCACAAAGGGTTGGTTGACATTGATAGATTAAATTTTGGTGTTATTACCTTGATTCCGAAAATTAAGGATGCAGCTCAAATTCAAAAATATAGGCCTATTTGTCTCCTGAATGTCAGTTTTAAGATTATAACCAAAGTGCTCATGAATAGGATTACAGAAATTATGACATATATCATCTCAAAAAATCAGACAGCGTTTCTGAAAAATAGATTCATAATGGAAGGTGTGCTGATCCTGCATGAAATTCTTAACTCC